AGCATCCTCATTCACATACTTTTAATTAGGGGGGTAAGAACCGTCAATTTTACGAACGGAGTACCGGTAGTGCCCCAAAATGACATTGGCACCGCTAGTGTCACTGTACTCCGGTCTCACTAGAACCCCACTGTTAAAAATTAAAATTTATTTTCGTTATACAATTTTGTTTTTTTCCTTGTAAGGAAAGTATATTTAATTTTATTATAACCCCGTGCTTCGTATGATATTTTTATTTTAGAATTTAGAATTTTGAAAAATTGATAATTTACAATATATTTCGCATTTTAAACATTAGTAGCAATAACATTTTAATAATTTTCTACAATGTATTTTTAAAGATCTATTTGTAAATTTTTAAAATTTATATTTTAAAAAAATACGTACCATCTTTTATAGATCTATTTGTAATTTATATTTTTTAAAATTTACTCCGTATATTTTAGAAAAGAAAAGAAAAATAAAAGGAAAAAAAAAGAGAGGATAGAACAAAATGAGAAAACAATTTTTCTCCTGTTTTTGTGATAAAAATGGGAAAACCTCTATTTCTTTTTTTTTTTCCTTTGGGATTCCACTAACCAAACATGTGATAGTCTTGCATGTGAATAGCGATTTGTGTTTCCGCACTTGCCGTAGGTCTGAAAATCTTTATCAATAGTCAGGCCTCCCAAAAATACAAACACTCACAAAAGTAAAGCAACAAAACACTCGTAATTAAGAGAAGAGCATCAAAACACTATTTATTTTCATAGATTAAAATAAGCTAAATTTTACAAGTAATTGGTTATTCCGTCCGTCCAAGTTGATTTTTTCTATATTATGAAGTTTGACCAACTCTGTTTTCAATTTAATTTATTTAATTATAATGTAAAATCTAAAAATAAAATTTATATATTTAAGAATAGATATATAAGAAGTTTTACAAAACAAGATGTGACATTGCTTTAAAAAAAAGATGTGACATGACTATATTATATTATAAAATGAGTTATGAAAAAAATAAAACAAAGTGAATAAAATTTGGTAGTATGAATACTCTATGGAAAGATCCGACTTGATTAAGAGAATATTTTAATATAATTATTTAAATAAGATTCTCTTTGACAATTCAAAAAGAAAAAGAAGTGCCGGCATCTTAACGGTGTTGGACGAAGAAAAATGGAGAGGCTAGAATTATTCTCCCTAATGTTTACTTTTCAATTTGTAATGAAGACTAATAAGACAGCGTACTCAAATGGTTATTCTAAAAAAAAGTATAAATAGAGGCCTCCACAATCACATTTTGATATGCAATGAGAATAAACAAGGTTATAATCAAAGTGATTAAACTACAATTAAAAAGTATGGCTTTGCGTTAAATGAAGTGTTGCTCAAGGAAGCTTGATCATCTTTCATGCAATTATATTCCCTTTTTTTGCATGAAATTGAAGCTAATGGGCAACGGCAATTCATCCTTGACTTCTTAGATCCGCTCTTCTCTATCATGCCGCGCCATGTACAACCTTTTTCAAATTAGAAATCATACCATATGAGTATAAATGTGTTGTAATGCAGCCTTAGGATTTTACGTACAACAACGTACTTCACACCTTTTTTTGTGATTACTACCTCCGTCCTTAATGATATTTGTCCACTTCTTTCATAAGATTTCTCTCTCTCTCTCTCTCTCTATATATATATATATATATATATATATATATATATATATATATATATATATATATATTTGTCAATCATCTTTTTGCATGGTGTTGGTTTCTGTTGTTGTACTCATGACACCAGTTTGTTCACTCTCCATTGCTCTCAAGTAACAGTCATCATCATGGTCTAATGGTCTATGTTGATGATATTGTCATTCTGGGAAGTTCTCCAATCCTAATTCCTAAAATTATTCATGCTATGCATTGAGACTTCCAATTGAAAGAATAGTGTCATTTACATTTTTTCCTTGACATTTAGGTGAAGTGCATCAAATTCCATCGCAAATAGGAAGATTTTGTCGCGGATTCCTCATCTGCAACGGACGTGCGACAAGATCCAATCGTCGAAAAGTATATGTCGCTAATTCATAATCTCTAACAGGTATCTGAGTCCGTCGCAGATCTCCGACAGACACTGCGAGAAATTAAAAATTGATAAAAATATGGTATAAATTTTTGACAGAATCAAGATCAGTCGCAGAATTGAAAAAACCAGCCACAATATAATATTGTACTAGTTTTGCTCATTTCTCAGTAAAAAACAACACCAATCACCGATCTAACTTACACAATCATTTAAGACATTTATAGAGTATCATACCATCATGGCACAATCATATTTATAAATATTTTTATTATGAATACATCTCAACAAGTCATTATAAATTTGTGCAAATGTAATAAAGATACTTGACGTACATAATAGAACTTCTTACTATATTAAATTATACTAATTGAGGGATTTTATTAGAGAATGTAATGCTTTACACCAAACTAGAACATTCAAATTGTATCCAACAACCTATCATACTTTTACTCGAGAGTGAACTTTATATTCTCAACCTTGTGAAACCCATATTGCTCCCCTTCATACTCCACCAGAGCAACTGGTAGTCCAAACGAACTGCACACTTGATCTTCTCCCACGGACAAGCACGCCAGAATGCAATCTTGATGTCACTCCGGATCCTATGGCGGCCCATGGCCAACTTATTTTCATGCCATCTACACCACATGTGGATCATATTCACTTCCAGAACATTGTTGGTGATTTGCATTATATGCTGTTACTCGTCCAGATATACAATATGTTGTTTACAGAGTTCTCAGACCATGTACAATACGATTGAATAACATAATCATGCCTTGCAAAGCATTCTGTGCATTTTGTGATGTACTTAAAAGGTACTCTACACTTTTCTCTTTTTTTCCGCAAGGGGAACTTGATCTATATGTCTATTTTGATTCGGATTGGGCCAATGACAAAGATAGTTAGAAATCTACAACTAGTTACATGCTCATGTTTGGCTCCAATCTCATATCTTGGTGTGCAAATTAAAAAAAATACACTTAAGTCTTTAAATCTTCTGCTGATACTAGATATCGTGCCATGTCGGCAGGTGTGGCAGAAGCTATGTGGCTAGCTTATGGTTCATTACTGATGCTCTAGGCATCTCCCGATAAAACCTCGCCTCTACTATGACAATGAATTCACTATTTATGTGACAAAGAATCAATTTTGCATGACCGTATAGCATATGCTGGTTCAAACTGTCAGTTTGTGCAAGATGAAGTCATGGCAAGCACTATGAGTACACATCATGCTCTGTCCTCTAAGCAATTAGAAGATATTCTCACAAAACCACTTATGCCAACTCTGTTCGAGTACTTATGCTCAAAGGTGCCTATTGTCTTTGTTGATTAGCTTACGTGGGGATAATAGGAAATAACATTATCATTTATTTCCTTTCTTATTCTATAATTTCCTTATTGTATTGTTAACACAATTCTTATTCAACTAGGATTAGAATTCTCTCTTGTAATTCCGATATATAGGGATATAACCTTCATTATTGTTCAATACGACCAAATATTATCAAATTGTATCAATTTATTAGGGTATAGTAAAACATTTTTTACTTTATTTGTATGTTTTTGTTTATTCTTGTCTCAGCGTATTTGTCTAGTTTTAATTTTTTGAAGTCAACTAATAAAAGATTTTACAAGATGAATCTAATAAAATTATTTTGTATCAATATTCAATATGAATTTTATTTTATTTATAGTCAAATTTTGTTAATTTTGACTGTAAAAAATAAAAATGGGGTAAACACCCTAGGACGGAGGTAGTATCAATTAATTAATACTCCGTAAAATAATATAGTAATGTCACCTTTTATTCCATAGAATTTTTTATATACTTCGAGGTAGTTTTGAATATAGATATTTTGATTTCAAGGTTACGTTTTCACTAGTTTTTAAAATAAATTTAATTAAAAACATTCATGTTTTGACTTTTGAGAGATGAAGTAGTAGAAGTTTGACTAAAGTGAAACGATGCTAGTAAGTTATGGATCGGAGTGACAAGTGACATTTTCTTTGTATGAAATTGACGCTGACAGCAAGTCTCCTTGGCTACTCAGATCCCCTCTTCAATCTCTATCATAAATATTACGGAGTATATTGTAGTATGTGTTCATGCAGATTGATCAAATGAAGTTTTGCTCGGGATAGCCAAGGATGACTTGCCGTTGGCGATCTTTTGTCTTTGTATGAAATTGACGCTGACCGCAAGTCTCCTTGGCTACCCAGATCACCTCTTCAATCTCTATCATATTATATTGTAGTATCTGTTCATGCAGATCGATCAAATGAAGTGTTGCTCGGGATAGCCAAGGATGACTTGCCGTTGGCGATCTTTTGTCTTTGTATGAGATTGACGCTGACTGCAAGTCTCCTTGGCTATCCAGATCCCCTCTTCAACCTCTATCATATTATATTGTAGTATCTGTTCATGCAGATCGATCAAATGAAGTGTTGCTCGGGATAGCCAAGGATGACTTGCCGTTGGCGATCTTTTGTCTTTGTATGAGATTGACGCTGACCGCAAGTCTCCTTGGCTATCCAGATCCCCTCTTCAATCTCTATCATATTATATTGTAGTATCTGTTCATGTTTTTTTACTTTAATTTATTGAAGCTCGGAAAATTATCATTCATACTAAAGATTGAACACGTGACCTCCCACTTTGGAGAGCCACGGCGGTGTGAGTGGACCACAAGGTCCTTCGCATAAGCATTTTTATATTGTTATGATAAACATGTACTCTATATTTAATTTGTTACGCCGTATTTTATTAATTTATTTATGTGAGAATTTCTGTTGAATTTTCAATAGTTCGAGTGTCACGCAATATTAATCACTTTTCTATATAAAATCTGAATTTACTTTTTAACCAAAAACTTAAGGGATAATTTACCTAAATAGGACTAAAACATAATGACTTTCTCAATATAGGATCATATGTTTTTATTTCCTAAAATAGGACCATTGATCAATATCTATTAGTCATTATTCAACTAAATGTACAACATCACTTGGACATTATTCTTCTCACTAGTCATTATTAAGTCTCATTTAGGAAATAAAAAAGTTTAAATCCTACATTGGAAAATGACTTATATTTTAGTCCTATGTAGTGTAAATTTCAATATAAAGAATGGTAAAATGATAATTATTCACCTAAAGTGTTTAGTTAGAAAAATGGATCCGAACTTTATATAGAAAAGTGATTGATTTTACTTAACACTCTATCCGATCCATTCTGCTCACCAAAAATACTACAAACATTCTCACATAAATAGATTAATAAAATAATTTTTTATTTTGTAGAGGGAGCTGAGGTAGCAAAAATATATTGCCGACTTTCTTTCTTCATATCTTATCCAAAAACCAAAAGAGACACACCCGTCAACACATGATCACAGCCACGTTAGTTAACACCACACATGATTTTTAATTTGGGAATTGCTAAGTAACATAACACGTGTACCCATATTTTTAACTTCTTCTAGCATGCAGATTATACGGAGTATTGCAGTATATATATCCATCATATCCTTTGTATAGGTATATATTTCCTCTTGTTCATCGATTGATCTCAATTGAACACATATATTTTGTGCCAAAAAAGAGGTGGGAGTAAGACAATACTTCATCATAGTATATAAATAAATATATATACATGGCTCATCAGTACGGGGGAGACAACAACCCCTACGGCAGCGGAGGCCGCCGGACCGACGAGTGGGGCAACCCTGTTGGCTTGAAGGACGAGTGGGGCAACCCTGTGCCACAAGCTGGCGAGTATGGTAACAACCCTACGGCGGCGGGCCACCACGGCATTGGCGGCACCATGGCGGGAGTGGGACCCTATGCAAACACCACCGCTCCGTCCGGGATTCTGGGGGGCGGCGGCATGGCCGCCGGCGATGGCTACAAGACACACGGAGTTGAGACTGGGAGGGAGCACCATGGTGGTACTATTGGCGGCATGCTCCACCGCTCTGGTAGCTCCAGCTCCAGTTCTGTAAGTTCATTTTGCAATTTCAGAGTGTTTTTTAAGAATCACATAATTGAAGTATTTTCCAGACCTCCAACTTTTGATTGAGTTTTTGGTTGATTTGAATAATGCGTGCAGTCGGAGGACGATGGGGAAGGTGGGAGGAGGAGGAAGAAGAAGGGGATAAAGGAGAAGATCAAAGAGAAGCTGCCGGGGAGCGGCGGCTGTCACACCAAGGGTGAGTATGGGCCCACCACAGGGCACCCTAGTGCCGGAGGCGGCGGCGGCTATGGCTATGGAGGAGAAGAGCATCACGAGAAGAAAGGTTTTATGGACAAAATCAAGGAGAAGCTCCCCGGCGGCGGCCATCATTAATTAATTAATATATATAATTAGAACCTGATGATCGATGAGGACTACCTGCTAGAGATCTATCTATATATTTATATCCATCCTATCCAGTCGTTATAATTATATATATACTCCTATCATCATCATCATCATCATCATCATTATAAAATAAAGAGGGTGTTATTATCATCCTTAATTATATAAATAAGGCGGCTGTTTCATGTATGATAAGATTAATAATCCTGAATGAAATTAAATGGTGTGGTTTTGTATGAAAGATCAATTATCAATCGTTTTATTTGTTTTCAGTTTTCGTATTAAGCCTCTTCTATGTACGAACCTATATATTCTTCTTTGGGGCATTTGCTTGTTCTTATTGGAATCTCAAAGTATTACCCTACTCTTATTTTAAAAAAAATCTGACTAGATTAGAAAAAACTTTAAATATGATTCTGAAACAAACAAAAAACATTAAATATGATTAAATATAAAGTAATGTGATTCAAAAGAGGTGTGTGTATAGATCAAATATCCTCATATGTAAAGGAAGATCCTAACCTTGATTAGTAGTCAGAGGAGATGAAGAACCCTGCAATTGAATCCGCCAACAGCTAGTCAGTCATCCTCTTCATCCCGTCCAGATTCGACTGTCCTTTTGTGCATCTGTGCTTGCCAATGCACATATTTATATTCCAAAGGAAGACAACACAAATGAGACGAATAATATGCTATTCCAACATTCAAATCTGTTTTGTGTCTGGCTTCACCAGAAGTTGGCACAAGAGCAGGATCCATTACGAAAATGGTGAAACCTCTTGTTATCCCTGACCATGATCACCCTGCCAGTGAGGCCAGACACGCCACACATGAAAGAATGACAATCTTCACAGATCCTGAGATTCTTCATGATTTTGATCTCCGAGGTTGTCCCCGTTGTCAGCAACACATACCCCAACGCCAGCTTCTCGCTGTGGCTCATCAGAATCCTCTTCTTCTCCTCCTCCTTCAAAGCGTACGGCACGCAGCCCAAGTTGGGCTCATAACCAACCAACCCCAGTTGCCCCGCGACATCCCCCAGCACTCTCATGATCTCGCCGGACATGGGGTGGGACGAATCCCCTGCGTAGAACTCGTGGATGGCCCCACCATCCCCTTCTACCCAGCTGCGTGATGGGTTCTTTTTAAGTAATCTCGATTTCACCATCTTCCTGACCTTCAACACGTCTTCCCACCTTCCTGCAGAGGCGTAGATGTTGGAGAGAAGGACGAAATTGCCAATTCCATCCGGTTCAAGCTCAAAGAGATGGTTTGCGGCAATCTCTGCTACTTCTGGGTTGCTGTGGATTCGACAACCTCCCAGTAGGGCACCCCAGACGCCTCCGTTGGGCTTTATGGGCATTTCATGAATAAGATCGAGGGCTTGTTGAAGCTCCCCTGCCCTGCCAAGAACATCAACCAGGCACGCATAGTGATTCACCTCTGGTTTGATCCCATATTTGTTCTCCATCAGATGAAAGAAATGTTTGGCCTGTTCTACCAAACCTGAGTAGCTGCACGCCAGAAGGACGCCAAGAAAGGTCACGTCGTTCGGCTTAACATCTGTCCTCAACATTCTTCTGAAGAGATGTAATGCAGAAGATGCATGGCCGTGCATGGCAAACCCAAGAATCATGGAGCTGTAAGAGAACACGTTCTTCTCCTTCATCTGCTCAAAAACCTCACAAGCACTCTCCAGGCTTCCGCACTTGGAGTGCATGTCAATCAATGCCGACCCGATGACCACGTGATCCGCGGGCCCGTACCCGGACTTCTCGGCCACATCCCTTATCCATTCCGCGTGCTGGCTGGAGCCCAGTTGAGCACAAGCCGAGATAACACCGGACAATGTGACATCATCTACCTGCACGCCAGCATTCTGCATCTTGCAGAAGAGCTCTATGGCTTCCTTTGGTCTCCCGTTCTGAGCCAACCCTGTGACCACCGTGGTCCAGGCCACCATATCCTTGAAAGGCATTTCATCAAACAGCTCGACTGCAGCATCCATATCCCCACACTTGGCATAAGCTAAGGTCAAGGACGTCCACGACCGTCTCTCACTGGCATTTCGTCGAACACCTTCCTCGCGCAAAAGACCAGCCTGCATTTCACATACATATCAATCAGAGTGTTCATCGTGTACAAGTCCGAGCACAAACGGCCGACCTTAACACACTGTCCGTGAATCTGACGCCCCAATTCCACCGCCAAATCATCGCCGCAGGCCTTCAGCAGCGCCGTGAAGGTAAAGGAAACAGGGGAGAGACCCTCCAGCCGCATGAGACCGTACATCTTGACCGCCTCCTCCAACGATCCCTGCATCGAATAGCCTCGAATCATGGCGGTCCACAAAAAGGGGTTCCGATCCTCGACCATTTCGAACGCCAGACGCGGGTAAGGGTCGACGGGAACATTGATTTTGGTGAGCGACCGGATGAGCTTGGTGAGAACATAGCAGCACTGGTCTACGCCGCGGCGGATCGCCTGCGCGTGGACTTGCCGGATTTGGGGCAGGCTGTTGCAGACGTCGAGTAGGGAGACTAGATGGGTTTCGAGGAGCTTTCGCTCTCGAAGCTTGGAGAAGGGGACGAAGGGCTTATCCGGGTCGGGTTGGGGACTTCTTGGGTCGTACAGCCTGGGAACGGGTATCGTCGTCCTGTGTATAATCAGCTTTCGGGTTATGGAAGCCATGGAGGTGACATACTCACTCGACCGTAGAAGCCGAGGGCAATTTGAGGCTGTTTGGTGTTCCTTTTAATCATTTACTTCTGCTTTGAGTAGAAGTAATTTTACTCTGTTTGGCATGTCAGTTTCTGCTTTTCACCACCACTATTTTGTACATAGAACACCGTTTCGGAGAAACAGATAGGAGGTGCTTCTGCTTTTAACTTTTGTGGAAATCACTTTATCCATAAGTTAATCACTCCCAAACACCCTCTTAGCTCGGAAAATTAGAGCAGAATTCAAGGGTAAAAGTGTCATAGCATTTAGGTGTCAAACTATGTACTTAGGGCTGGACATGGTACGGCCACGATTCCGCTTCCCGAACATGTGGTTCCGGTACTCATTTTAGAGAAACCGGATCCGTACTGTGTAGGGGCGGTTTCCATTCGACTCCTAATTCTAATTTCAAATCGAATATTTTTTTAATAAAAATTTGACTCCAAACCCTTTTTTTAGTAGTAAATATGGTAATCAACCTCAAACAAATTAAAATCAACCCTTAAAAATATAAAAACATGAAAAAATCAGTTCTGGGTATCCAAACATAAGAATCGGAACCTTTTCCAATTGTACCCTAACAGTTTCGATTCCACAACCGCAGGTTCCAGTGCCTGTTCTAAACCAGAAGCGTGTCCAGCCTTATAAGTAGTACTCTCTTCGTCCCTTATATATGTGTTCAAGACTTGATCAATTTTATTTTTAATTCAATTTATTTGATTGTAAGTGTAAAATTTAAAAATTAAATTTGAAAATTTAAAAATTACATCAAAAGATTTATAAAACTATACTTGACACGACTATATTATTTCATCAAATTACTAATGAAATTAAACAAAGAAAATGAATAAAACAATTAATAATACATGTGTGTGTGTCTATATATATATATATATATATATATATATATATACATACACACACACATATATATATATATATCTGTGTGTGTGTGTAATAAACTTTTTATTTAATACAAAAAGTTGAACAATTAATTTCAAGCTATATGGCATATAAAAATACAAAACAAACATTTTATTCTTTTTTTCTTTTAATACTAGTTATATTTGATTATTAATGAATTTTTATTTATACAAAAAACTTTAAGTATATTACGTTTGAACTTATATTTTTAGATACTTTTATATTCAACTTATTATTGGTAAGATAGAAATGTATAAAATAAAACTTTATCCATATTTTTGAAACCTGACAAACTAAGAAAGTATAAATTTTATTTTAAGTGTATCGTTTTATTGATGAATTGTTTGCATGTAAATATTATTTCTTGAAACACAATTAACAAATAGAATAAGATAAAATAAGGTTGAATAAAACTAGGTCGTCAAAATCGTGCAGATATATTCCGGAAAAAAAAATAAAATTACTGGTTTTTTTGTCTAAACAGGACCGGACCAAGAAAAAAATGGCCTGGATTGGAATTTTTCAGGTCGAATTTTGGTCCTACCCTTTACCCGTTTCCGGTTTATTGGTTTTTTCAATTCTGATCCGGTCGAGTTCGATTTCGGACTGGTGTTCACCCCTATATTTGAGAAATCAAAATACGGAGTAGATTTCAGTGTTGATGAATTAATAGTTTGAATTTACTTCCAAAGAAAAATCGGTCAATTCTACTTGAGGAATCAAAAATTGTAAAATATTGAGATAGAGTCACCAAAACTGGTTTTTTTGAGAGGAACATTATGTCATTATGTATTGGCAAAATTATGCCTTTTTTTTAAGACCAAAAAAAAAAAAGTAGCCTTCTGCTTGCCGATTGCCTAATGATACAGCCAAGCAAGTTTACTATGTTTGCATCAAAACGTTAAAACAAATGTGAGAGAATTATTGAATTAATTCTGGAAATATGTTTTTTTGTTTTGTTTAATTTTGGTTTTGTTTTGTAAGCAAAGCATGTGAACTATATCCTCAGCCCACTCCATTCTTCTATTTTCACATATAACTCTTTGTTTCACCTTCTTCCTCTTCCATTCCCCATGCTTCCCCACTTCCAGTCTCAATAATGTCTATATATGTAGCAAAGCAAATCACCCAATAAGCTTACCTCTGGTTGGGCTTAATTCAAAGAATCCCAGGAAATAACTTAACAAAGAATATAATGTCCAATAACTCTCTCATCAAAGCAAGTTGTTTCTTCATCATCGCCGCCGCCCTTCTCTCCTCCTCCTGCCATGGGGACTGCCTGTCGCCGCAGTTTTATGACCTGTCATGTCCCCGGGCTCAAGAAATTGTGAAGTCCGTTGTTGCCAAGGCGGTCTTCGAAGATCCTAGAATGGCTGCCTCTTTACTCCGGCTCCATTTCCACGACTGCTTTGTCCAGGTATGACCACATTTGTAGTGAGATATAGCAATGACATGTTATCGGTCACCGTTTGGATATACTTGAAACTGTCAAGCTCAAGCTTGTGGTTGTGGCCTTGAAATGGTTTTTATATACTCTAACACACCCCCTCACGTGCAGACATGACTTCTTTGAGCCTTGCACGTGAAACCCTAATTTTTTTTTTAACTGGGCGGCGTTGAGTTTTGAACTCGTGACCACTTGGTCATCAAGGCTCCAATACCATATCAAGGAACCAACTCAATCAAAAGTTCAAGATTGTGCTTGTGGTCTTGAAATGGTTTTTAAATACTCTAACAGAAACTAAAACGATATATGATTATCAGGGTTGCGATGCGTCTATACTTCTGGACAACAGTGGGGGGATGAGGAGCGAGAAGATATCGAACCCGAACAGGAACTCGGCTCGCGGGTACGAAGTGATTGACGAGATTAAAGACGCAGTGGAGCGCAAGTGCCCTCTCACTGTCTCTTGCGCTGACATTCTTGCACTTGCTGCTCGGGATTCCGTTGTTCTGGTACCATACTCTATTGGTTTTGGTTTGTAATCTCGTAATTCTAGCATTTTTTTCATGTTTTTTTTTGTGTTTGAAAAAGGCTGGAGGACCATATTGGGAGGTCTCATTAGGAAGGAGAGACTCCAGATCTAGCAGCCTGAGTGGCTCCAACCACAACATTCCTGCCCCAACCGACACATTCGACACCATTCTGGCTAAATTCAATCTCCAAGGACTTGGTCTTCTTGATCTTGTTGCCTTGTCTGGTAATTATGCCTTCACAAGCTGAGTTTTTAGTTGAGTTGGTTTGTTTGACATGATATCAGAGAGTATCTGTATGGGTGACCGATAAATTGTTCGATCAGGGAGTCACACAATTGGGAGCGCGAGGTGCGCCACCTTCAGACAAAGGCTTTACAACCAGACGGGGACCGGGCAGCCGGACCCCACGCTGGACGAGCCGTACGCGGCCGGGCTGCGAAAGAGGTGCCCGGAATCCGGGGATGGCGACGGGAACCTGTTCGACCTGGACTTTTTCAGCCCGGCGGCGTTTGACAACGGCTACTTCATCAACCTGCTGGTGCGCAAAGGGCTGCTGAGGTCGGACCAGATTCTGGCGGAGAACGAGGCGGCTCTCCGGCTGGTGAAGGCGTACGCGGAGAGCGGGGAGCTTTTCTTCCGGCAGTTTGCCGTGTCCATGGTGAAGATGGGAAACATCTCTGTTCTGAGGGGCTCTATGGGAGAAGTCAGGAGGAATTGCAGGAAGATCAACCATTAATTAATACTACTATTCATATAATAGCCCTCTGAAATATATTAATATTACCAGTATATCTAAGCTTAATTGCTGTATATGGATTGATTAAGTTTCTGACGTTATTATGATGTCTAATTTGAACTTTGAGTAGACTTTAAAAACTTTGTGTTTCTTTATGTCTTTCCCTCTTTGAGATTTGATTTTAAATTGCATGGGTGTGGAGTATTGGATGATTGAATCATTGTAAAATTTTATGGATATGACTTCTGGCATAACTTATAATTCTACAATCATTTTTTATTGAAAACTAACAATTGGATTTTGTCATTGTAAAAAAGCAAACATGTAACGCCCGTTATGACATTAAATAGATTAAACAGTTTGAATGATCTTATTTAGAAGATGCAAATATAAGAGATCCTATTCTGCAAATAAAGGAAACATTTTATCCCAGCAAGGTATATTTTTTTATTTAACATAAAAAAGAATATGTTGATTGATAATTAAAAAAATCTACCTAATTAAATAAAACTAAGGAAAAATGACTAAATTAGAACTAAAATATGGAAAAAGTATTAAAATACGAGCTCGATATTTTTTGTTCCCCAAAAAAGGAATACAATGCCAATATATATTACCAAAAAAAGGTAGAATGCCTATACAGTGTCATAATAGCAGTGTTAACTCTTATTTTGGAGATAAAAACATTAAACCCTATTTTGAAGACAAATTATGTTTTATTCTTATTTGGAGTGATTTCTTTATAACTAAAGTGGAACTTATACTAAAATGAGAACTCTAATATGTTCTTATCTCTTAAATGAGAGTTTTGGTATTGCAAAATTATAGGTTTTGTAATTGACAGTATGTATTGACATTGCTTAATCTATTTGTGCACATAAAATAATTTATCTACGCAGTAAGTTTTAACTGCTTCATACAAAAAGTGGTTATATTCCAAACTCTTAATACCAGCTAGAGACAATTTGCTTGGAGTTAAATTGAGTTATGATATTAGTCTCGTCAAGATAGAGTGAAATTTAGGCCTAATACTTGCAAAAATCAAATGGTTAGCAAGCATGGTCATCGTTTTTTCACAATTGTTAGGATTCAAATCCGAATTAACCCTTGCAACAATGTCTTATCAATCAATTGAGTAATGCCCAAGCTCCAGCAATTCATACCAAAATACTCCGTAAATTTAACTAATCAGCCGTATTCTTAAATTTTGTTTTTATGGAGTAAAAATACTTCGTCTGTAAATGATTGCACTCTTCAAAAAACGTGAAACAATGGTATTAAAAAATAAAAAATATAATTTCTATATTTGAAAACCAAAAAAAATAAAAAATATGAAATTATCAGAATATTTTATTTTTTAAAATAATCAATAAACAAAAGTCAGGATCTTTTACCCGAGTCAAAAAATGACCCTAGAATAACACGAAATAGGTAAAATGGAGGGCTCATACCTCTTAATGCTTCTCCCCACATTCCACCATAGCCTCCTTATTTCTCCTAGATCACTGATTTAGACTTCCCAAATCGATAATATAAGAGAGGTGTAGGGGCAGAGACGGTCTCCGAGCTCAATTCCTTCTTCCATCAATATTCGAAACAGCAATTGCCTCTTCTTCCATCAAAATAAGTTACTGGTATTTTGACTTGTATTTCACTATCAGAAGGCGGCAAACATGGCCATGGCACCCGGCAACAAACCCGAGAAGAGTCCATTAGATTTTTTGCGCACTCTATATGGTACTCCCTCGCTCCCAATCACAAATGCACAATTTTAGCTTTTTTAGTTGTGAAAATTGTCAACTTTAACTGCATTTTAATTTAAAAAATTGTTTATTTAGCTTAATTTAACCTATTAAGCCTCTATCACATTCCTCTTTTTATTACGAGTAAAAAAAACCAGTTGAAAATAATGAAAGTTAGCATTTTTTTCTTCAAATTGAGCTTAATGCCATTTGGTTGCAACTTGAAATGTTGAGGACTTAATAATTATTTAGTACTCCTTCTGTTCCAAATTGTTTTACCCTTTATGCTAAATGAAGCAAAATTTTAATTTGTTTTGAATTCATTTTATTTAAAGATTGGTATGTGAACTAAAAGAAAAACGTACACATTTAAAAACTGCCTCAAAAGTTTTATAAAATAAGAAGTAACAATAATATTTTATTTTATCAAATAATCAATCAAAACGCACAAATAAACAAAAGTTCCTGTTTCTTTTGAATAGTGAAGACGGTAATTCTTTTTGGGACCGATGGAGTATGTTCACTAAAAACAAAGAGTATTTTGATTCACTGGATATGTTGTTTTATTTTTTTGTGGTGTCACTTGATTTTGGATACTTAATTGACACTCAATTTGGGATTGTGGTGTTGGTGGTGGTGGTGTTGGCTTGATTTGAAGGAATATTAGTACATGAAGATTTAAAAAAAACTTGTTGGCCTTTTCTTCCAATTAAAAATCTGGGTTAATATGTGAGATTGTGATTGCTTAGTGGCAGTTAGCAGCTGATTTCAAGTCTTAGCTTTTTTTATTTGGTGTTTTAACATGTCAAATGTATATTTTCTGTCACAGAGGGTGCTATGGCCGGAGCAGCTGCTGGCGTTGTTGTTGAAACTGTATTATACCCAATTGATACAATAAAGACTCGGCTTCAAGTCGGTTCACCCTTCTGCATGCCCTCCTTTTTCACATCCTTTAGTTTCTTATTGGGCACTGAAGTTTCTTTCTTTCTTTTTTTGTTTATTTGTGATTGGTTTAATGTTTTACAGTGGAATCTCACTTAATATAATTCATTTCTAATAACATAGGTTATTATCTTCTTCTTGTTCTTTTTCTTCAATTTCATCACTAAATTGCATCATTGCAGTAATTTAAGTATAGTAATTCTCTGCTTATGCTATTAGCTATTAGCTATCAGCTATGTAATGTATATCTAAAATGGAGCATTGAATGATATACTATTTGACTAGCTTTCCTCTATTCAATGTTAGGTGGTCCGTGGTGGAGGAGAAATAATTATGAAGGGTCTTTATTCAGGCTTGGCTGGAAATATTGCTGGAGTCTTGCCGTAACTCACTTCCTTTGAAATGATTGATAAACCTTTTTTTATTTTGAACTCCCAAGTTCCATTCCTGTGATTGATTTTTATAAATGATAATGAAGAAATGGCCTGCAACGATCAAAAGTCTTTCTTTATTCTCTATAATAAGATGTATATTTTCTTTAGAATGTCGGGAAGTAAAAAATGCAATGTAAGTATAACTAAACTGAACACTCCCCTCACTAGTTTGGTGGTATCATACTGTTATGAGAATATTGGCCCAGCATGGCAGTATAAAAATGACATAAAAACGATAGAGACACGATTTTATGCAGAAACTTGGCCCAGCATGGCAGTATAAAAATGACATAAAAACGATAGAGATGCAATTTTATGCAGAAACTTAGGACTGTTGGGAGGTGAAAACCAAAGCCCTTTTTTCATTGTGCCATGCTAAAGGCTGCACTATACTTGTGCTATTGTGCATGTGCGTGGTAGGGATTTCTTGTGATCGTTTAATGGAGGCTTGTACAGCTGAACGTAAGGATTTTGATAGAAGTCTACAAGAAGATGGAGAGATGAGATGGTAGAGGGTTCATATGGTTTTGTTCTCTGAAAATGGTGTGTTTGAGTTGGCTCTTAAAGAGGGAGATCTCTTTTACTTTTCCTATTTGACCTTGTGACTAAACCCAAAGCAGGAGAGAAGCAGAAAGATACTTTCCCTGGAGTCCAATAAAAAGTTGTTTATTTAGAGATCCATTGTGCTGGTTTCTTCTAGATATTGTATTGGAATGGTCCGTGTGTTTCATGATTATTTGGCCTTGATTAGGCTGAGGTATAATCTCTAATTGATTGACTCTTAACCTTTTTGTAGAGCTTCTGCCATATTCGTTGGAGTGTATGAACCTACAAAACAAATTTTGTTGAAGAGCTTGCCTGAGAACTTTAGTGCTTTAGCTCATTTGGTAAGAATTGGCAGTAGTTTCTTTTCTAGATTTCATGCCTTGTTGACCACCTTGACATGTGATTGGATTACTAGGAAGCTAACAGTATCGTGCCTTGCTACTTGTATTACATAATAAAAGCATCATGAAGCAACCTCTCTGTTTTCTTACGAGGGGGTAACGTTGCGTACATCTTGACCCCCCCCCCCAAATATTGGGATTATATTGGGTTTGTTGTTGCCTCTTTCTCGTGGAACTCTATTTTTGGTGATTTACTAGATTTTTTTTTAAAAAAATAAAATTTTCATTTATTAGACTGCAGGGGCTGTTGGAGGTGCTGCTTCTTCAATTGTCCGCGTGCCGACAGAGGTTGTCGAAAGCTTGCTACTTCAGTCTTATCATCTTGCATTGCTTCTTTGCTTACGCTACAAAAAAAAATCACAGGTAGTCAAACAACGGATGCAAACTAGGCAATTTGCTTCTGCCCCTGATGCAGTACGTCTTATCGTATCAAAGGAAGGTTTTAAAGGCCTTTATGCAGTAAGTAATGATGTCCAGATTCATTTTATAATTGTGATTATGTGTTGCCTTCTCTTTTTTAGTAACTTCGCCATGGAAATTAAACTCTTAAGTTGCTAACTTGCTATACTTAGCATCCCATTCTAATAATGGAGATATGTTCTTCCTCCGAGAATATTTTTGAACCTCTCAAACTAAGGATTTGTATATTCATGTTCAATAGTTCTTTATTAGCTTATGCCATACATTGATTGTATATCTTCTGTTTCCTCTTCTCTCATTTTCTTTTTCTTCCTGTTTTTGTTTTTTCATTTGCAGGGATACGGGTCTTTTCTACTGCGAGACTTGCCTTTTGATGCTATACAGTTCTGCATATATGAGCAGATACGGTTGGGTTACAAGTTAGCTGTAAGCTTTTAGCCTCTCATCAGAAGAAGGGTGCTTGATATAAATTCCTCACTTGGGAAACTGTTTCTTTGATTGATTAGTCCCTGTGAAGTGAGCTTTTGAGATTTTCCTGTTGCAGGCAAAAAGGGATCTGAATGATGGTGAGAATGCAATGCTTGGTGCTTTTGCAGGTATTCCATACCTTTGAGTAATTGGAAGGATCATCTTTCAATGTTTTAAGATGGAAAAATATTACCTAAATAATACTCCCTCTGTCCGAAATTATTTGTCTACTTTGCATATTCAATGAAGAAATTATAATGATTTGTCGAAATATTATAAAATAGAGAGTGTTTCTAAGAGACCCTAGCTCAAACACAGAATTGAGACAAAGTAAATACAGTAACATATATCAAAATGAAAAAAGTATGAATGACTCTGAGATGCTGTAATTTGCAGGCGCTGTAACTGGAGCCATAACAACACCTCTTGATGTGATAAAAACCAGACTGATGGTTCAGGTAGAGTGTTCCAAATCTTCTGAATTCGTTTTATTAATTTCAGCCTTTTTCTTCCTATAAACTTTGCTTTGGCCTGGCCTTGACAGGGATCAGCAAAGCAGTACCGGGGTGTTCTTCACTGTATTGGAACTATTGCCAGAGAAGAAGGAACTTCAGCTCTTTTTAAGGTATAATCACTTTCTCCTGCCAAATGATTAAAAGATAGGAACGAATGGAATTGTGTGTTGATTAGTAGCAGCAATAACGAATAACAAAGGCATGATTCACACTTTTGTGTTTGCTGCAGGGAATGGGGCCAAGAGTGCTTTGGATAGGCATTGGAGGTTCCATATTTTTTGGAGTGCTTGAGAAGACAAAACAACTTCTTTCCCAGAAAAAACCAGTTGACTTGAAACATGAATGAAGTGGTTATCTGATCCACCATATTACAAATATTAATACTTCATTTGAGGTTTCATTACAATTTTCACTTGTTTATTGCTGGATACAGTTGGGCAATTTCTTGAAATTGTTTATTGAAGAATCATGGTTGCCCCCCTGAACCTCTTGCTACCTAATCCCCCCCTAAACCCCTTGTGCCCTCTTCTCTGGATCGCCAAGTGGCACCAGTATTTTCTACTCCCAATCAACGATCCAGGGGAAGGTGGAAGGGGGCTTGGGTGGGTGTTAGGAGGTTGAATGAAGCACCTTAGGTGTCCCAAATAGGTAGTGTCACTGTATGCAAGTGTTAGCGAGACATGGATAGGATTTTTCAATTTTTTCGATATACTTTGACGATAATTAAGGAGTATAATGTTTTGACCAACACAAATGTTATACTCCTTAATTGATTACTCCTTCCGTCCTCTATATGTCTTGCCATTAGGCATTATGAAACTTGGTTGATTTTATTTTTAGTTTAATTTATTTGATTGTGATTGCAAAAAGCTACATAAATTCTATTCTCTGCTTTATGTGTCTTTTGTGCGCTTGTGTTATCTGAGTTATTCATGTAACTGAGATGTGGTCTCTTGTAAATAGACTCTATTTTCGAGTAGAGGTATGGTCTGCGTACACGTACCCTCTCGAGACCATACTTTTTGTGTGATTCTAAAGGATTATTATTGTTGTTATTCTTATAATAAAAAATTGCATGAAAATTTCTATTCGTACAAAATATGATGTGACAAAATTATACTCCCTCTGTCCATCATAGATCTTCCCAGATACTATTCACAGGGTCAAACTTAATTCACTTTGTTTGTTTATTTTTACTACTTATTTCATAAAATAATATATTGTTGTCACCTCTAGTTTTTGTAAAACTTTTCATGTAATTTATTACTACATAGATTTTATATTAAAATTTTACCTCTATATTCAAATAAATTGAATTGAAAATAAAGTCGGTCAAATCTCATAACGCGCAATGGGAAGATCTAAGGTGGACGGAGGGAGTATTATTTTACGGAATATAAAACAAGGTGTAAAAATAGGTAAACAAAGTGAAATTAAATTTGATTCTGTATATAATGTATGAGAAGACTTGTGGGTGATGGGCGGAGTATATTTTTATACTCCCTTCGTCCCAAAAAGAATGGGACGGTTTGAATTTTTGGAAAATTAAGGGAGGGATATTTTGGTATTGACTTTCCAAAAATACCCTTGATGTGATGGGTAAAAGTAGGATGTGATGAGTAGATTATTAGGAAAAATGTATGATGTGATAAGTAGGGTATGAAAAAGTAATGGGTAAAAGTGGTTTTTTAATAGAAATGCAACGGACTTTACGGGACGCAGTTTTTTCTAAACGTAACAAATTATTTGGGATGGAGGGAGTATTTTGTAGGAATATTTTTGTTCAATCGTCAATGCTTAGGGCTTATGTTGTCATGATCTTTTGAATTCAAACATTTTCAACTCATTTCTTTTTTCAGTTATTGAAAGATTGTCCCCTCTTTTTTTTCAAAATGTTTTCTAACTCTTTCTAATTTTTTTCAATTCATTCCACTAAATTATAAATTTGTTCAATTGTGACTTAAAGTTACTCCGTATTAACCTACATTTTTATTATTCTTTTAGAAATTATTATTATTATTACTATTATTACAACTATTATTATTATTATTATTATTACTATTATTACAACTATTATTATTATTATTATTATTATTATTATTATTATTATTATTATTATTATTATTATTATTATTATTATTATTATTATTATTATTATTATTATTATTATTATTATTATTATTATTATTATTATTATAGATATACGAAGTATGAAATAAGCATCTTGTAACTTGCAAATACACATCACACGAATATACAATAGTGTCTTACGTATACAATAGTGTCCGAATGTTTTTTCTATCACAAATTAAGTTACATATCTACTAGCTATTTATATAGTAAGAGTTCATTCACTTTTTTTTCTATTTTCATTACTCATTTGATAAAACAATTAATCATGTCACCTCTTATATATTTAGCAGAATTTTCTACTTCTTCCACCTCTTAAAATTTTTCCCTTATTGACTTTTTGAGAATTTAAGGAAAAGATATTTTTGTGTTGACTTTTCAAAAAAAATCTTTGATGTGATGAATAAAAGTATGATATGATGTATAGATGAGAAAAAAGGTATAATGTGATGTGTAGGGTAAGATGATATGATGTATATGTGAGAAAAAAGTATGATATGATGTATAAATGAAAAAAAATTGTTCTGTTATTTTCACAATTACTACGTATTATAATGTTGTTTCGAAGTACTGCTCAAGAAAAATAATTACAACTTACAAAAAAAGGTCGTGAGTTATGAAGTAAATAAAGTAGCTCTATTGTCTAAAATAATTTATTTTTTAATTATTACTAGATTATCGATTATTGAAAAAAAATAATTAGTTTCACTCTAAAAAACACTTAAATTTGGTATTATTTCTCCAAATAAAACAAAAATTAAAAATAAATTTAAAATTAAAGATAGAAATTTAAAAAAATGAAAAGAGAGAATTTACCTAAAATAATCCTACTTTTCATTTATTTGTGAAAAACATGCAGTTTTCAAAAATTCTGTTAAGTGACCGCTAGTTTTTTAGTGGTGACCCAAAACTTGCATACATGCGGAAATGTGAGCTTATTTCCGGTGACAGTGAAAAGAAAATTATTTTTGAAAAACCACGAAAAGGTGAGATTATTCGAGATAATGTTTCTTAATAAAAATAGTAAAGACTTTGTGGGACAAAGAGAAAAAAGGAAGAGTTTGTGAGATTGATTGAGTATTAAAATTGCATAGTGTTTTTTAGCATCATATGTCGTCATTATTTACGCCATAAGTTACTCCCTCCGTTCTATAAAAGTGTTCCTATTTTGACTTTGTGTAAAAATAAGGAAATGTTAAATTATACTCCCTCCGTCCCTAAATAAAGTTCCTCTTTCGTTTTTTCTTTGTTCCTAAATAAACTTCTTTTTTCCCTTAAAAAACCCCTTTCACCCTTTACTTTTTCATACTCTACCTATCACATCATACTTTTTCACTAATAACTAAACAATCACATCTTACTTTTACCCATCACATCAAGAGTAAAATTGGAAAGTCAACTAAAATTACACTTTCCTTATTTTTTCCCATAGTCAAATTAAAAGAGGAACCGTTTTAAGAAACGCATGGAGTATTATTTTCAGAATATAACAATAAAGCTTGAATAGTTATTGTAAGAATAACAAAAGTGAAATGAAATAAGAGGGTGGAAATAAAAATTTTTAATGTTTGGTGAAACTATGGATTAAGAGAATACGGAGTATTAGTGATAAACCTAAACGGATTATGTGAGCGTTGGCAGACAAAATAAGGTTCACCTTTAGTCCTTTGATGACCTAAATTCCAATTTCCTCGTAATCAGTATTGTTTGACATATACCTCCATTGTGAAAATTTCCCACATTTTCACCCTTTTAAAATACTCCGTAAAATTTTAATATTTTTCAAATAATTATGCATTTTAAACCTAATTCGTTCTACAAAATCTTTCTGGTTTGACTTTTAAAAATTAAAAGTAAGTTTAGTTAAGTGTTGACTTTCCAAACATACTGATTGATATGATGAGTAAAAATAGGTCTGATGGTAGATTAATAGTAAAAAATATGATGTGATAAGCATGTTAAGAATTAGTAAGGATAAAAATGACTTTTTAATATAAATAAGAAAAGTTTTTTGGAACGGATGAAAAAAGAAAGGATAAAGATTTTGTGGGACGGAGAGAGTTTCATTTTTCTTTCGATCGCATAATTTTTAAGTACTTTTAAATCTTACTTTTCTCAATAATTATATTTGGTCAAATGTAAAATCTAATTAATTTTGAAGGAACAAATTAAGGCCAAATAGTTCCACTGTCTCTGTAGTTTGAAAAATTGGTATCGATATGTTCTACTCCATCCGTTTCTTAAAATCTTTCCTCTTTTTTTCTTTTTTTTTTTCCTTAAAACACTTCCTTTTTCTATTAAAAAATCACTTTTACCTCTACTTTTTTATACCTTACCTATCACATCATACTATTTCACTAATAACTAAACTATCACATCTTGCTTTTATCCATCACATCAGGGGCAAAATTGAAAAGTTAAATAAAATTATACTTTCCTTATTTTGCCCCCAAGTCAAAATAAGAACCGTTTTAAGAAACGGATGGAGTATATGTTTTCAAAACTTATTTGTAAAATCTTCGTATTTTCAAAATGTTATATCCACACTTCTCAAATCATTTTCGGAGGAAGATGGAACATTGGTGGCTATTTCCAAACCACATATGCAGCAAACGTCAAATTTTCATTTTTCACTTTTTTTGTTTTTTTTCCATTTGTAACTCTTTATTTCCTCTCATTGTTTTCTTTTCTTAAAATTTTTTAATTTCTAAATTTTTTAAAATGTTTTACGTACAAATAAAATTCAAATGTGTTTTTGTTTGAAAAAAAAAAAAAGAATTTTCAGATCTAAAAAAGTTCTAAGAATTGGAATGTCCAAAGAACAGAATATTTATTTTATTTTTTCTTTTATTGTATTTCTTATTTTTTTTTCTTCTTTTTTGGAAGTTCCCAAAAAAGTATTTTTCTTTTTACTTCAAAAAAATGAAAATTTTAATTTGAGATGTACAGATGCAACATATATGTGTTGACTTCAAATTAAATTAAATAAACTTGGGGTGCAACTGAAGGGGGTGTGAGGCATGGGTTCGAGTTGGGCAGGGTGAGATGGTTTATCGAGGAGATTATGGGGTATGAAGCGTACCGTCAATTTTACAAACGGGAACCGTAGGGCCCCTAGTCATTCCATGACATTAATTACGAGGAAATTGGATCCCATGATATGACTAGTCAAAGCAGATCGGTCACTTGAAAAGACCGGTACTGTTTAGGACAGGATTGATCCAGTCTTTTTTTAAAAATTAGTCCATACTAGACTAGTCTTCATGAAAAATTAAAGACCTTTTGGGACCCGAGAAGTCTCGTTAGGACCGGCCCAAGTCCTGTCCGGTCCTTAATATGTAAAATTATTAAATTTGTGTTCTTAAAAAAATACTCATAAATAATATAAAAAATTACCATTTTTTGTTATTTAATTTCCTTGTTATATACTCCCTCCGTCCCATGAAACAAGGGAGTTTTGCTTTTTAGGAGGGATTTAAGGTGAGTGTATTTTGGTATTGAATTTCGAAAAATGTCCTTTGATGTGATGGATAAAAGTATGATTTGATGGATAGATTATTACTAAAAAGGTATGATGTGATAGTTAGGGTGTGAAAAAGTAAGGGGTAAAA